CCAGGCTAGACTCAAACTCAGTGATTCCCCTGCCTCAGCCTCCCAGGTGGTGGAATTACAGGTGTGCAGCACCACGCCTAGCTATTAGATTTTGGAAGCATTATTTTATTTTATTTTAATTTACTTTCGTGAGCTAGGATCTCATTATGTGATTCAGGCTGTGCTTGAACTCACTGTGTAGCCCAGTCTGGCCTTTTGAACTTGTGGTGATCCTTTTGCTCTGCCTCCTGAGTGTTGGGGTTACAGGCCTGTGCCACCATACCTGACTGAAGCATTATTTTACCCATTTGTCCATTTGAGAATAAGAACCCTTAAGTTTGTTTCAAGGATAATGGAAGACTTAAAGAGGGAATACGTGTGGAGACTGTGTTACAAAACGAAGGACCCTTTTCCCCTATTGTTGCCGAGGGAAAAGTTTCACCCTCACCTGGCTTCTGGACAGAGCTACAGGAGGCCACTTGTAGGGACTCGAGGTACCTCTTACGATGACATAGGTTTAAACATAATCTAGGAAGGTTAGCATCTCAGTTCTCTTCCACTGAGAAATACTCTTCCTGGTCTCACGTTACTACTTCTGCTTTCCAGTTCTGTTGTATTTTGACCACTTTATATTCTCTGAAGAGATACACATAGCTTTTACTTGGCATAACCAGACAAGAAGGCAGGATTTAGCCAGCTGGATACATTTCAATCAGCACATTAAGCACTTTCATCCCCTTGTAGAACTTGAGTCTGTTTCTGAGCTCATGGTAGGAATTTTTATTGTGTCCAGCCATTCTGAGACGCTAGCTGCCCAACGCTGTGGTTTGAGGGGAATGAGCTTGTCTGGAGGTCATCCGTATTTTTTCCTTTCTTTTCGCAGGGTGCTGAAGCGGCCAATGTGACCGGCCCTGATGGAGTCCCGGTGGAAGGGAGCCGCTATGCTGCTGATCGCCGCCGTTACCGGCGTGGCTACTACGGCCGGCGCCGTGGGCCTCCCCGCAGTGTAGGTGGTCTCTCTTGCTGACTAGTGGCTGGGAATATTTTCATGTCTAAAATGAAGTGTGTGTACCCAGACCAGAAAATTCCCCTCTTTTCCAGAGACAGGACAAGTGATTATTTTTTTTAAAGGAAAATTTTTAGCGCTTAGAAACTATCCATAGCCACTGGTCTCTTTGCCACCTCTCCAGCCAGAAGAAGTTGTATCTGTGAGGCGGCAATGGCTGTGAGTTCCTGACATTTATTTGTCTTGTAGCAAGGAGACTTCATTAAGATAGGTGGTGCCAAGGTTGGTAAAAAGCCTCAGTCTTTGTTTGGCTCTTTACCTGGCCAGAACTTTGCATGTGGCACTCACTGGCACACTGGCTTCAACCTGTTGTTTCCTCCCTTGGCACTAACGCTGTTGGCCTCGGAAACAGCGGTTGGCAAGAGTGAGCCAGGAATTGCTAGAGAATTGCGGTAGGTAAAGTGCTGGCCCCAGACGGATTAAAAAATTCACCTCAGTGGAGTAGCATTTTCCTACTGTTTCAAAGTAAAGAAGCAGTAATTCTCAGACCTTTAGTTCTGTAGTTTGGTCCCAATCCAGATGAAGAAATTTATAAGCCCTGTCTGGCTAGAGCTTTTGCTTAAGCAGCTCACCTTAAAGGAATATTCCTGAGGCAGACACAGTGAACTGTTTGTGCTTGTGAGGATTATGTTAGACTTGAATTAACAAGAGGACAAAATTACCTAGATTTTTGATGTGTTTAGCGTTAGAACCAGGAATAAAACTCGGGATCCTCTGTGAGTCCCGGGTGGTAGCTACCAGCTGGGCATGGTAGTAGCACAGGCCTGTAATGCCAGCACTTGAGAGGCTGAGACAGGAGGGTTATAAATTTCCAGCCCAGCCTGGGGAATTTAGTGAGACCCTGTCTCAGAATAAAAAAATGAATAGGTTGGAGATAAATAGCTGAGTGTGGTGCCCTGGGTTCAATCTCCAGTATAACAAAAAGAAAAAAACCAGTAGGATGGTAACCACATATTGTCATGAGAAGAAACATTTTTGAAAAGTCTCAGAATAAAGTATCTGCGGCTTGAGAATGATTTTTGTCTATGCTCAGAGATTTATATTTTTCTGCTTAGGTACATGGTTTTACCCCTTAGTCTGTTATCTTTACACCCTGCCCAAATTGATTTTATCATTCTTTAGAACATCTCATCTATTTTTCTGACCCTTCCTTGACTTACTAGATTTTTAATAATGAGCTATGAAGGGTGGGGGTAGAGATGAGCCGTTGTAGCAGATCCCTACTAGTTCTTAAGTTTATTCAATTTATAGAGCTCAAGCTGTGATTAATTTGACTGTGAGGTCAGTTCACAAGTTAAAATAGGAAAATCTTCAGTAAAAATATTCTTTGTCTTTTTTGAGACAAGAGTTTCACTATGATGCAGTTCAGGCTGGCCTTGACCTCCCTTTGTAGTCCAGGCTGGCCTCAAACTCACAGTGATTCAATTTCCCAGTGCTGGGATTATAGGCATGCATCACCATGCCTGGCTGGATAAAAAGTTTTCCTTGAAGACTTTTCCCTCTGAGACCTGGGAAAGATATTTATAATTTTTTTTTTTTTTTTCAAAACTCTTCAGGTTAAGGTGTACGTAAATGGAGCTTTCTATTGTAATATCTAAGTGCTACCAGCTGGTTGAGGCAAAAGAATATGGTCAGCAATGATGATGTCGTCATTATTGTCTTGCAAAATTCTTAATCAAATATTTAGCTTCATAAAGATGAGAGGATACAGGTGTAACTTACAGTTTACACTGTCCTGCACTTCCTATTTTGGGGTGTGTGTGCGTGTGCACGTGCACTTGCATGGGGTGTGCAATACTGGAAGGTGAGCAAAGGGCCTTCTCAGTTGAGCTATTTAAATTAATTTGTGACAGCGCCTCCCTGAGTTACCCAAGCAGGGATCAAACTTGGGAGTCCTCCTGCCTCAAGCTCTCCAGTAGCTGGGATGAGAGGTGTATGCTACTATGCCTGCCTGATTCATTTTTTTTTTAAATTTTTACTTTTTATTAGCGTGTACTTGCATCAGTTTAAATTTTTATTTGTACATATTTGCATCTCGTAATGTTCACATTCATTGTGGAGGGGAGTTACATGTGCCTAGCATAGTCATTTTTAAAATGACTGTCATAAAAATTACTTCTGATTTCTGATATTCCTGATAGAGTAAAATTTGAAATCACAAATCTTTGATAGATGTTTGCTAGTTATAATTTGTTAAAATATAAGATAGTGATACGTGATATAGTTTGAATATATGGAATGATTTAAAATGAGTTATTAATTCCCTCTGTTAATGAGGTCTGTATTTAGAAGTGGTTAATCCTGACCCTACATGAATTGTATTAGGAAATACAGTTAAAATGTTACGATGAGTCCTGCCATAGAGGTCATTGGTTCTCAAACTGTTTAGTTTTTGGATGCATTTTTATGCTTAGCTATTATTGAGGGCTCCTAGAGGGTATATTTATGTCTATTAAGTAAAAGAAATGTAAAGTATATCTGTTTTAAAGTGACTCCTGTCAACATAAATGTATGAAAAAAGCTATTTATACTGGGTAAGTGGTATTGCTTTGTACTTGTGCACCTTTCTTTGGTGCAGTAGAAGATGGTTGAGTTCTCAAACCCTCGGGTGGTTTAGTCTACTGAGCGACCCAGAGAGGACACAGCAGGCAAGCAGCACCTCAGAAGCATCATGGGAAACAGTACTTGGATTCTGGGAAACAGTACTTGGGTTTCGAGACCCAGTCCACATTTTGAGAACTGCTGTAAAAGGTTAGGTCTCACATGCTGATAACATCATAGAATATATTTTTTTTGGGCATGGCCCCAAGTCTTCCCTTGGTGGACAGTAAATGTTGGGAGCTCCACCCGGAGGTGCTCGGTGCTCTGCCTCACAGAGAGCCCGTGGGTGGTTGCTCCAGTGAGACTCACCACTTCTAATGCGATGACTCACATTTGGTATAGGTCGCTTTTGCTTTTCTGCTGCTTGGTGTTTGATCTGCACAGATCTACTTGAATCACAATGTCATTTACCCCAGAAATCACATGAGGACCTGGGTTAAATACATTTTGTCTGTTTGCCAAAGGACATCGTTGCTCTGGGAGTTCATTTTTCTTTTGGTGATACTCATCCGACCTAATGGTGTTCTTTATTCGGTGTCCTCCCTGGCTGGACTTCTGAATCTCTGTTTCTTTGCTTCGCTAGTACGCTGGGGAGGAGGAGGAGGAAGGGAGCGGCAGCAGTGAAGGATTTGAGCCCCCCGCGGCTGATGGGCAGTTCTCGGGGGCCCGGAGGCAGCTGCGCCACCCCCAGTTTTACCCTCAGTTCCGGCAGCGGCGCTTCCCGCCGTACCACGTGGGACAGACCTTTGACCGCCGCCCTCGGGTCTTTCCCCAGCCCAGCAGAACGCAGGTAACCTTGCACCTGGACTTCTCCTGAGCGGCCCTCACCCTCCGTCCTCCTCTGCCTCCTCCACTTCTCCTCCTGCTCCTCCTCTTCCTCCTCCAACACCAGCTGCCGGAAACCAAACAGGAGCCTAGGGCAGACCTTTAGTGGGCTTTTACAGAGCAGTCATTCTATTCTAGAAGCACTGCGGAAGCACAGCTATAGGAGCCGGCCTACAGTAGGCAGGGGGTGTTTCCAGCTTGCAGAGGACTAAAGAAGTTGTGAGATCAGTGGCTCGTGTAAGAGCTTGGAGTCAAAGTCACACAGGGCTGGCTTTGAATTCTGTGTGCTACTTGCAATCTGTGAGGTTTTGAGAAAACCAAGGCTTCCCGAGATTAATTTGTGCATCTTGAAAATGGGAGCATTAAATGCCTGCACGAAAGAAAGGGTTATGGCTGTTAAGTTAAATCTAAAGGGTGTGGCCTAGTGACTGCAGTGTACAAAACATGAATTAAGTACTGCGTTTCCATGAGATGGTGCTCATTGTTAAGGAAAACTAACATAAAATGGACATTGTTGCCTGCTTATTTTCTTTTTTACTGCAAAATCCTAGTAGAGCTGTTGTAAAATTTGTTATTAATCAGCCTCACACCAATTTTGCAATTGGAAAAGGAGGAATATATTATTATTTATTAATTTTTTTTAATCACTAGCTGCAATGTTTTGCTGATTCCTATCCTTGGGCCCCTTAAAGTGCTCTGACCGAATATTACGTTCAGGCTGTTCTCTGCTATACTTCTCTCGCATCCTGCGTGAATGTTCCTTCTACATCGCTTCTTGTTTTTCTCCTTTCTACTCTTCAGCAGCTGCCCCTGACAGATGTGCTAAAAATGATGGCCAGAGTTAATATATGGAGATGCTGGGTACACAAGGCAGAGTGGGTTTCTTTAAGGCAGCACCTGAGGGTTCTAGGAAATGGGCAGAACAAATGTGAGATTGTGGTACAGGGTTACTTTCAGTAATGCTTTCCTGAGATAAGCAGGCTTATTATTTACCATATATACTGGGTTACATTTTCTGAAAGCATAGTGATTCTTTCCCATATCTTCTAAAACAATGTGTTTCCCTTACAAGTTGAAGGCCCGGTGCTTTTGGGATGTCGTTCACAGAAGCCAGGTTAAAGCCACGTGAACATAGGTTCACAGTCTCACACCCTAGCTGCACATAGTTGTCTTGAATGCAGGCTGACTTTCTTGCCCATTCTGGGTTGGCAGTAACAGCACGGTTAAGTCTTAAGTTTTCCCTTAGAAGCTTTTTAACCCATGCTGTCATGTTTGCATGTGGAGAGACTTAGAAGTCCCCATAAGCCAAATCAGCAGCAAAGAATGAAAATTTTGAAAGCCGTTTTCCTATAATTAGGCTGCTTTAAGGTTGTTGGTACAAGATACTAAGGACTGCTTTCCCAGCGGACAGGTAGGTGGTCCAGGGGAGGATTTGAGAGCAGTCAGCAAGGTGGGTGCTCAAGTTTGGGAAATGTTTAAACATAAAAATGGCACATTTGACTATGTGAGTATGTAGTCTGAGAAGTTAACTATTCCTCTGTGGTTTTTGGATGTAAAAAATAAGAGGAAAGCCAAGTGTGATAACGCATGTCTGTGATGTCAGCATTGGGGATGCTGAAGCAGGAGGATCTCTGCACATTGGAGGCCAGTCTAGGCTACATTGTGGGGCCCTGCCTCACACAGAGAGAGACTGAAAATTTGAGTTGGGGGAGGAAGTTGAAAAAAATTTAGAAAGTTTTTTCCCCCTTTACCTTCAGTGGAGATGTCAAATTGGCAGAAAAATAAAGCCGAGTCAGTGGTAATAGGAGGTGGAGGAATGAAGGTAGAATTTTAGGTATGGTGATATTTGATTTTTTTTTTTTTTTTGCAAGGTTTTACCATTCAGTTCAGGCTGACTTTGAACTCACTTTGTAGCCCACGCTGGGCCTCAAACACTCAGCAACCCACCTGCCCCAGCCTCCTGAGTGGTAGGATTATAGGCATGCAGTGCCACACTCAGCTGGTATGGTGATATTTGAGAACAGATGTAAATGAATGGAGCCAAGGAGAGAGACTTTTGGTGCCAAGAAGCATAGTTCATGAGTGGCAAAGGGGTGGCGTGTACAAGGGCTGATGGGAGACACAGGACCACGGGGGTAACTTCGGAGTTAGAAAATGTGACATTTACAGCCACAGGGCGGATGAGTTGAACTGTAGTATAAACGGAAATGGAAAGTGACCATAGGCTTGAGTTCTGGGACATCACACTTAGAGACCAGGAGAAGAGGATTGTCTGGTGAAGGACAGTGGTAAGGAGCGAGCATGAGGGAGGATGTGTGTAAGGCAGGGAAGGTTAAATGCTGTCCAGTGAACGGAAGAAGTGAGGATGACTGGGCTCGTAACCGGGGGTCACTCGGCATTGTGGTGAGAAGTTGATTGGGAGGATGAGTGGGAAGAGAAATGAGGTGCCCCTTCGAGGAGGTTTTTCTGGCGGTGCCAGGGATAGGGCTGTTTTTCCTTTGTGGGGATTGTCTGAGGGAGCGGAGAGAAGTGGGGTCATCTCTGGGGGAAAAGGTAAGATCAGGTTGAGATTGTTGTTTGATTTGATTTGCTTTTTACAGTAGCGAGTGTGCCCCAGACTCCTTCACCCCCAATCTCCCCTATGGTTACTTCTGAAGACATTAGTTGTGGTAGATCAAGGTGGGTGGCTGGATTTGCCCTGCCCACCCCCCATGTATGCAAATATAGACACACATGTATCCACCTACCTCTGTAGGTGTGTATATGTGTGCACGCGCCTGCCTTTCTTGCATTTGTTTTTTTTAGACAGGATCTCACTGTGCAGTGCAGGCTTCTCTTGAACTCACTTATGTAGCCCAGGCTACACTATCTACACACAGCAATCCTCCTGCCTCAGTCTCCTGAGTGCTGGGATTCAGGCCTGTGCCACCACACCCGGCTCGTGTCAACTGAGAGGGCCCCCAAGCAGAGATGCCTCGCCAGCACTGAGCATACCTGGCCCAGTACCATGCCCCGGTATAATGGCTTTGGAAAAATAGCAGATTTCAGGATTGGGGCAGAGAAAATATAGTGTGAGCCAGGAATATCTTGTGCCAGAAAGCAAGGAAGTTACTCAGAATGTTGGGGACATGGCAAGAGGACAGGAACCGGCATGAGGGGTTCCCACTGGCCAGTAGTGATGGTAACAGACTGTCACTCATTGAAGAAAGTAGAAAACCCTGAGTCCTTCAGATACAAATAAATAAATGGACATACGGAGAAATTCAGTGAGTAACAGGATGTTCGCAGACATTGGAGGTGTATACTTACAGAATCCTCACTAACTACAAAGAGGGAAGAGTAGGCATCAGTGAGGGAGCTGGGCAACACCGCTTCACTGTCAAATCACGGTAGGGATCGAAGCCGAGCGCCCCCTCACAGGAGGCAGCGAGAGGAGTGCAGTGCAGCTTCTGTGATTTCTTGTCAGATGCGGGAACTACACTTTAGGACGCACCAAACACCTCGGATTGTGGGATATTTTATGGAGTAACTGGCCAGTGCTTTTCCATGTGTCAAGGTCACGCTTGCCAAATCACGATTGTTGCAGTCTTCCAGACGGAAGATTCCACATGGGCCCTTTGGCTGTGAAAGTTGTTATTTGAATGAGGTCTGGGGCTCAGGTCCTATCCTTTGACTTGTCTTACGTTTGTGTGTATTTTGAAATTAAAAAAATGAAAGAGATGGGTGCTACTTCAGCATGTCTGTGTCTTCATGGAAGCCAAGTGGAGAAGGGAAAGAATAATGTATGGCAAAGGAGAGGCGGTGAGGAGAGGCTCGGCCTGGGTGTGAGCGTGACACTCATCCCGCGTGGTCTGAGGGAATAAAGCAAAGGCAGGCAGCGTGGGTGGCAGAAAGGTGGCGTGGTGCAGATTTCCTTCCGCCTGCTTCTTTTTTTTTCCTGGTGAAATGCAGAGGGCAGTGTTTGGCACTGTAGCACACCCCAGGGTGCTAGTTTTGAGAAGAAACAGGTGAGATGTGCTTATTGATCGAGCTTCTTGGTGGGCTTTTTGTTTGTTTTTAGTTTTTCTTCCTGAAAGTTGTCCAATAAATTAATTTTAATTCTCCTAGGTTAAAATACATTTATAGTCATCCAGGTTTTCTTTCTTCTTAAACTCTATACTTAGCATAAACAGATGAAAAAAAAAAACTGAAAGGAAGAAAGTAGAGGCAAAGATGTGTTTTGTGTTGCTTTCTTCTTTTTCTTTCCTTGCTGGATTTTGAACCGGGGCCTTGACCATGCTAAGCAACCACTTGTAACACTGAGCTCCGCCCCCAGCCCACGGGTAAGGCTTGGGCGAACCTTTGTAGAAATCCCCAGTGGGATTGAGAAGAGACTAGTTCGTAGAGTTATGGGTCTGAGTTTCAAACAGTTGGGAAAATCTCATTTCCCGATATATAGTAAACGTACTATTACATTTCCTTGTACATTGAACACGTCAGATTTTAAAGTGTTGCTGGGTGTGGTGCCACACCCCTGTGATTCCAGCACTTGGAAGGCTGAGACAGGAGGATCGCCATGAGTTTGAGGCCAGCCTAGGATAGCAGAGTGAGTTCAAGGCCAGCCTGAAATACGTAGTGGGGTCATGTCTCAAGAAAACAAAACAGAAGCTACGTTAGTAAGATTGGATTTTCTGGGATGAAGTGGAAGGCTGTTCTAGCTGGGCTGAGCTTTTCTTTCCTTCCTGTCATTCGTGGAGGTTTAGGTAGTCAGGTAAGTGGTTCATCATTGTAGCTGAGGTGCCCAGCTTTGTAATGAAACACTTGTATTTTGTAGTTGTAAAAAGTGGTTCTGTGTGCTCTTTACCTCCCATGTCCTGTGCCACATCACTCATTTCCAGCTCTCCTCTCCCTCTGCAGGCCGGTGAGATTGGAGAGCTGAAGGACGGGGTCCCTGAGGGAGCCCAGCTTCAGGGTCCGGTACATCGGAACCCCACTTACCGTCCCAGGTACCGCAGGTATGTGCTGGTCTGCGCAGGTGATGGCCACCTACGCGCACCTTTCAGTATTAGCTAAAAGGTGTGGCGTCTCTGGCCACGTGCACAGGTGTTTTGAGACAGGGCCTCGACACGTACTTCAGGCTGGCTTTAAACTCATTGTGTAGCCCAGGCTGGCTTCGAATGTGTGGTTGTCCTCCTGCCTCAGCCTCCTAAGTGCTGGGATTACAGGTGTGCGCCACCATGCCTGGCCATGCACAGGTTTTCTTGATACTCTTCAGTATGTGTTTTGAGACAGCAGTACAGAATACTTCCCTCCATCAGACCATTATTGAGATCCTTCAACTTCCGTTCTATGTGTTGTACTTTCTTTGTTTGTTAGTACTGGAGATTGAACCCAGGGCCTTTGTATACCTGGTTATATCTCATATATCTCTGTCTTTTTCTTGAGACACGGTGTTGCTAAGTCACTAAGTGGCCCAGGCTGGGTGAATATGTGGTACTCCTGCCTCAGCCTCCCAGAGTGCTGGGATTACAGGCAGGTGTGAAGCCTCACAGTTCAACACTTAGTTCTTACTAAATCAAGTGAAATAAGCAGAAATTCAGTGGTGGAATAATTCATATGAAGATTTGTGTGTCAGAGTATTTGGCTTACTGACAGTTTTAATGGAGGCATTCTAGTGTAGGAGTTACATCATGCTGTGGAGTGTGTTCTCTGTATTTAAATTCTACCCTGCAGCTGAGTAGCTGTATGGCCTTAGGTAGGTTTCTAAACTCTAAGATGGGGTCTCCAGGTCTATAAGTTGGACTTAAGAAATCCTATATAACCGGGTATGGTGGCACATGCCTGTAATCCCAGCACTCGGGGGGCTGAGGCAGGAGGATTGCCACAAGTTCAGGGCCAGCCTGGATACATAGTGACTTTAAGGCCAGCCTTGCTACGTACCAGAACCCTGTCCAAAAAAAGAGTTCTACAGTGGGCAATAAAATTAAATGTTCCAGTGCCTCTGAGATAATTAGTATGATGCCCTCAATAGGTATTAGATATTATTACCACTGTTGGTGTTAGCATAAATGGAGTGGTTTATTTTGCTTGTGTTTTATCTCCTGCAAAGACTGTGAAGTGGACTCCCTAAGACCCTTTCACAGCGTGTTATTATAAGCCTAGCTATTCTTTTACCTTTGTATCCTTTATCCGCAATACCTATTGCCAAAGATGCTTCAGATTTTAGTTTTTCAGAGCTTTACGAATGAGCATCATTAGTGCAAAATTCCAAAATGTGAAAGACCTCAAAGGGTGAAACTTTGAGTATGGTTTTGGGACTCAAATTTCTGGGTTTTAGAGCATTTTGGATTTTTGGTTTAGGGGTGCTCAGCTTGTACCTTGAAATTTGTCACCACGGCTTCGCTTCAAGGAGGGGTCAGCATATTTTCCTGGGGAGGGATTCATAGCAGACTGCATCCTCCCTCCCCCCAGGGCTCACACCAGTTTTAGACAGTATAATTACTAAGCAGATTTTTTAAAAAAGTCTTATGGAAAAGTCTTAATGAAATGTGAGACAGTAGTACAAGTGAATTCCAGCGCTGTCAACCCCCAGCCCTGTGACATCAGGAAAGCTGCCGTTACCTTTTTTAAGCCATATAAAAACACCACTTTCGTATGGCTCCACTAAAGACTTAGTGTCTTAGCACCTGTTGGTTTTCTCACTGTAGAGGAGCGCAGAGAGTTAGCATTGCTGGTAAATATTTAATGTGAAAACGTGCGCTGGCGTGTGTAATGTCGGTTTTTCTCTCTGGGGGTTAATCACTTTAGTCTGTGTTTAGTATGTTTGCTCACTGCTATAGGTATTCTAATTAAGCAAGAAAACGATGGCATGAAAGAGTATTTCCACTAAGACCTTTGTTCCATTTGCTGATTGCCCATAAATAATGCTAGCAGTGAGTGCTGATGACTTTTTTTGGAGACAGAATCTCTCGCTGTGTAGCCTTGAGTTCTCTCTTGTCTTGCTTCAGCCTCTTGGGGGCAGAGATTGCGGGCATGTGCC